ACCTTTCGACAGTTTCGACATTTTGTCATTTGAGATTTTAATTGACGAAAGTCGAAACTAGGTTTCGACTTTCGTCAACGCAAAACCTCAAGGTTTCGTCTAACAACTATACATGTTACATGATTTAATCAATTCATTTTATCATCTTTAACTTATTTAACTTGTTTTGCCTGTAACACCAAAAGACTCGCCATAATACCTCCAACTAAAAATGCTTCAGTGACGTAGCCCAAGGATTTATGTGTATCGTTGCCATAGCTCCCCAAATTTTTAATTAATTCATAATGGTGATGATGTTCATTCACTTATGAATGACGATTACGTCCTACAATAACTAAATCCTTTCTACTGACTACTTTTTTAGCATATTCAACAGCAGTTTGTATTGGTGTATAAGATGATATTTCTTGATAACTTATACGTGCATTTCTCGCAGGATAACCGGATTTTGATTTTAAGTATTTTTCCAAAAAAGATTCGTCCTCTTCATTTTCCTGATGTGCAGTAGCTTCACTAATAGTAATGGTTGAAATTCGTCGATTAAGTGAAGAACTTTCTTTCTCATCAACATTTAAAATCCCGGAAGGTTTTAACGTGACATCGTTTTCTGTGGGCTGTTCTGATTTTATTATTCTAAAAACTGTTATGTTGACATTTGGATATTCGAGTAGCCTAAAAACGAAAGTGAGCGCCTCATGATCATCAGCACCACCAAAGAAAGGCATAAATACATTAAGATAACCCATAGAATTAGAAAGTGTATATGTGTTATCAGTACTACCAAAACAAACACGCCCACGCTTGCATAATCTGTTGCATTATTAAAAATATCCTGAATAAAACTTGCAACTTGTGGGCTTGTATGTTTTTTCTCACGTAGTGTATTATCTTCATTTTCAATTGGTGTATCTACTATTTCACCTGCACCATCCCATGGAATTATTACCAAATTAATATCATAATCTTGTATATTTTCAGTAATTTCTTGACAAAAGTCCTTTGGAGCGGCAACAGCTAATTTGGCATTAACCTTCATCGAACTAATTTGACTAAGTACAGAGAACATGTTCATGATTGGATCGTGTAAAATAGTCTCTGAGATTTCATTAAACTTCATCACCGCTGACATGCGTTGTGTAAGCTCAATAAGACGTAAAACATGAACTTTCATAGGTTTATTTTCTTTAATTATACTTGAATCAGATTTATCATCAGAGGATAGTAAAGTAGATTTGGTAGAAGTTTTATGTTGTAAAAGTTGTACAAAAGTTACCATAGCCGGGAAATTTTCAACTTTGTTCAATATAACCAACAATTTTGATTCAGTATTGAACAGGGTATAAATAAGAGGCAAGTGGAGTCGTGATAAATGTTGTCACCAGAGTCATGATGACTACAATAGAGAAAACTTTAGAATTTATAACATTTGCATCATAACCAACATTGAGAATAATTAATTATACAAGGCCTTTACAACTCTTAAAAACTCCAACTGTTAAAGATTCTCTAAAAGTCAATCCTGTCGCCTTAGCAGCAGCTGTACTTCCAAGTATTTTGCCAAACATAGCGACTATGGTTATCAAGATCACCCAACCCCATCCTGTAGCACCCAAGTCGCTAATATTAGTTTTTAATCCGGATAGTGTAAAATATATGGGTATTAATAAGACATTTATTAGATCTTCAATTTTTTCAGTAATTCCTACTGCAAAACCTCCTTCATGAGGAAGTATTACACCAATAATAAATCCTCCAAAAATGTAATGAATTCCAATAATATTTGTGATAAATGCTGATATCAATACGACCGATAAAGTAATAGCAACCATTGATGGTGATGGTGATGGATAATTTGAATTTGTTGCATTAATTAATCTTAACAAGATTGGGCGAATAGCAAATCCAACAATTAGAGTCCAGAAAACACCGATCAAGAAAGTATAAAGGGCTGTGAGATAGTTCGAAGCATTGATTATCGCAATAACTATGGCAAGTAGAATCCAAGCGGCAATATCATCACCAACGGCAGAAGTTAGCGCGCAATTACCCACAATTGTTTTCATAAGTTTTAGTTCAGATAAAATACGTGCAAGAACTGTAAATGCTGTAATAGACATGGAAATACAAATGAACAATACAAAACTCGTAAATGGCACGTTGTGAGAAACACCTGAGCTATCAACTACTACTTGATTATCCATTGCAGTATATAAGCCATATGCGACGCCTATACCCATGACAAAAGGCAATATAATACCACTCAGAGAGATAAAAATGGAGGATTTTAAATTATTTATTATCATCTTTGGATTTAATTCTAAACCAACTATGAACAAATATAGGACCAAACCCAAATTGGCCAGAAGGTTAAGGTAAGTAAGGGAAGCACTTGAAAACAAGGTATTTAAATATCCCGGAATGTGTCCCAATACAGAAGGGCCAAGAATAATTCCACCTATCATTTCAGATATAACCCGTGGCTGTCGGATGCGTTGAAGACCAATATGAAGAACGCGAGTAAAAACTATTATAATAACGATCTGTACTATAGCAAGTGTTAAAGGATCAGTTACGTTAACATTTAGGGGATTATTCCCTGAAAGAACATCACTTTGTACATCAGCCATTTTTGCGAATGAGCTAGTGAAAATAAAGAAAATGGTCTAAAAATAAAAGAGAGATATAAAACTCCTTATGACGTCCCGAGAGTATATCTACGGAAAAAAATAGATATATATATAAAATGAAAATAAATTTTGTATGTTCGCAGATGGATGAATTTTCTATCGCATAACTGTGCCAAACATACTGTATATATACGCATCAAAAGGTAATCCATATTAAAATGTTTATTATTGTTATTGTAGCGCTCTAATGATATCTAGTTCTGTAACTGGAACATTATTTTTTACTTTGCATTACAAAGAATACAAAGAAAAATCAGGCTTTTTAATATGAAGAGTATTAATACACTCTATTTTATTGTTACGTATTCGGAGGTTTTCCATTCTTTAACTAATACTATATACAGTACATAGATATATATTACGAAAACATGATTGGTGCATCATTCACATGAAAATATCTTTGAAATAAAAATCGACTTCGGCTAAAACCGAATTAATAATCGACCCAAATCGACTTAGTCAAGTCGAATTTTTAAGATCGACTTGGTTCACTATATTTATTATTATTGTATCATAAATAAAAACATTTAACCTTGACTAGGGCTGTTAAGTGGTCCGACTCAAACCGATGGACCGTCGGTCCGTCCTAGGATCGGCCCGGTCCTGTCTTTTTTGGGACGGACCGAAAGGACCGTCGATCCTAGTATTAAACTATTTGTTATCGTTATAGATAATTATATAAAAAAATTTTGCAGCAAATCATGATAGAAAGAAATCACGATAGTTAATTCCATTACAAACTAACACAACCTTAACCACACTGTATGTTACCACAATAGTCTGAAGTTTTGTGAAAAAAATTTTTTATGATAGAAATCACGACAGTTAATTCAATACAGAGTAGGTTTTGTAAAAATAGAAATCACGACTGTTAATTCTAATATAAACTAACTCGATCAGGAGAAGAATGAATGTGAGAGAAAACCGAGAATAAATGTTTGTTTAAAAGGTCTTGATAACTCAAAAGAAATAAAACGAGAATTTTTTAAAAGAAGTGAGCGTTATAGTTTATTATAATTTAAGTGTAACAATCTTATTTATTCCAATTAATATTTTAGGTTGAAAATCAACATAAATGTGGTGGCAATTCGACAATTGCAATTTTTGGAATAATTAAAACCCATAAGATGGTAATTATTTGATGGCTATGGGGTATGCAAAGTGAGGAAGTCTCCGAAAATTATTAGATAGTAAATATAATGAATTAGATTTGACTTCTAAAGTAGCTAACTGTATTACATAGCTGATGGGCTTAATGCAATTCACAAAGCCAAATTAGTTCATAAAGATTTCATTCCGGAAATACAGTTAATCAAAATAAGTTTATGTAAGCCGATGTCACATTACTCAATTTTAAAGAACTCTTTGGTGTACCTCCCTATATTTGTTAGACGAAACCATTTTTGCTTGATGACGAAAGTCGAAACCTGAGCCCTAAATGACAAAGCTTCTGTCGAAAGTCAAAACCTCAAATTCTTTTGACAAAAGTTGAAACCCCTGACGAAAGTCGAAACCCAAACTTGACTTGACGAAACCACCCGCTAAAAAAATAAAAGAAAGTAAAAATTACTAAAATAATCTGTTATTACCGAAACTCTTAACAAATTCTGGTGCTCCTGCTAAAAAAAATTAATGAAAATCTATTTTCAGCAAAGCCAAGCTGTTGATAAAAATATTTAAACAAAAAACAATGATTTATTATTGATGCTTTCTTTTTATTTATATTTAATGTTGAGACTGTTTATTGGCTTGACGTGGCTCATGTATTTAGTTTTAAAAACAGAAATTATAAATGGGTAAATAAGCCCATTAACACCTCTCAAATATTTAAATAAATATAAATATAGAGTAATAAATTATATTAATATTCTGGTATTTTATACATTATTAAAATATTTTAAATTTTTAAATTTCAATTTGTACTATAATCTAAAATATAAAGCAGTATAATGTTTTTTCTGCTCTGTAAATTTTAGAAAATTGATAGCCAATAACATATTATATTCATGTTTTTTATTAACTTCCCAATAGGCCACTTTTTATTTAGATCAGATCAATTCACTGACAACCATCTCATAGACACCACATTTCACCACTAACAAGATCATTTTACTGACAGCCTATTTCACTGAAGCTCATTTCAAAAATCCCTGTTAGTGAAAGAGCTTCAGTAAAATAGACTGTCAGTAAAATGAACTTATTGAAATGAACTTGTTGATGAATAATTGTCATGAAATGTGGTCTATGAAGTGATTGTCAGTAAATGATACAGATCTCTTTTATTAAGTTTTTATTTAGATTAATTTAACTGGCAAGTATAACACTAATTATAATCAAAGATCTGAAAACAATGTATGCACCTCTTATTAAAACTAATCTAAGTATAAATTATATAGCTCTTTATGTAAAAAGCCAAGGCACTCTTATGCATGGGTGCCTAAATTGCCCATCTTAATAAAAAAGTAATTACGGCATTTAGGCAGCCGAAATTATTCTTATAGTGCCGAAATTAAATTTCATATTTGCCGAAATTATTGCCAAAATTTTTTGAACATTTTTTATCAAAATACATCATAAATATATTATTTCAAAGGATTTCATATAAAAAATTTAGCAATGCCGAAATGTTTGTCGAAAATACGATTTTTTCAAAAATAATTTAGGCACCCATGTATAGACGCACTTACACTTGTTTATTATATAATAAAATTTTATGTTTTTGTAATTTATTATTATCTTCAATAACATTTATCTGCATCTTCATCTTCTATTAGTTTTATCACCTTTGTAGTTTCATCAATTTCGACACTTTTTGCCAGTTTCATCAGTTTCGTCACCCTTCGACAGTTTCGACATTTTGTCATTTGAAATTTTAATTGACGAAAGTCAAAACTAGTTTTCAACTTTCGTCAGCGCGAAACCTTGATGTTTCATCTAACAACTATATACCTCCCTATATTGCACCAGAAGTATTATATACAAATGAAAAGAAATACGCATAAAAATCAGATATTTATTCTTTCGGGATAATATGTCAGAAGTTTTTACTAGATATCCTCCATATTATGATATTCCACATGATGCTCAACTAATACTTTCTATTTGTCAAGGCTATAGACCTAAAATCGAGTGTACAGCTCCTCAACTACTTTTGAGTTTAACGAATAAATGTTTAGATGCTGAACCCATAACAGACCAACTTCTGAAGAATTGTCTAAAAAGCTGGACCGATTTTTTTATGATTTAAGAAATGAAGAACCGAATTATATAAACAAATTAAAGAAATCAAACACTCGGGCAAAAATTCCTCAACATATTATCAAACCAACTCGACAAGAATCAATTGTCGGACACATCCGCAGGCTATTTACACAAGTCGATTTTTGAAGTTCAAAACCTCCCTAAACCGGTAAATAAGCCGGTAAATTTAGGTAAAAATATTAATGTTTCGGGTGAAACTCAAATATTTCGCCAAATCCGAATTCGAAATTCGGACGATACTAGTTTCGCACAGCATGCAATTTTCCGAAATGTCTGACAAAATCCGTAATTGCCCATATTTTAGACTCAATCCGAAGAGTCCGAAGCTATTATTGGTCATGTTCAAAAACGTGTTCCAATCGTGTGAAATTTTTTTGATCATAATTCTGTAATTGATAAGTTAATTAGACAATTGCACATGCAAGCAGATTCGCTGTCCAGTTTCAACTACTGTTAAACCTTATGCATGATGGACAGATCATGTATCAGTATTGAAAGGTCATTAGATTTGATAACATTATAAGCTATTAGATTCATACTCACACAACCGATCCTGTCAAATCTCATAAAAAATTGATCCACAAAATCTGTTTCTGCT